TGGTGAGAAGCATAATGATAAGACTGAATCATCATGACCATTTAGTCGAAATAGCTCATCTATTTTAAAATTTTTCCATATACAACCAAACAATTAAGCACCATTTAAGTTAATGCCATTTATATTAACATTTTCTAATTTCGATCCTGACAAATTGCATTTTACAAAATTTGCTCCAATTAATGATGCATTTATAATTTATATGTTTGAAAAGTCTTGGTTGGTTAAATCAACCTTCATTTCTACCAATAATGTAAGTGAATTACTTCCACATTAGATAAGTTTTTTATCTATTTTAGTCAGATTTACTAGAAATTTTAAAAATTCTATAATATTAATATCTTGCTATATTTTTTATATTAGATATTTTCTTGTTTCTCTATATATGTCGGATGAAAAATTAATTTGATTAAAATCATGTTTTTCAATTAGTTTCTAAATTCCCATAATTTATTTAATTTTATCATTTATAGAATATTGTGATAACTTATTGTATTTTATATTCATTTAAGATTGATTTACATTTTCTAACATTTTCAAACAATCTTAATTTTAAATTTCTCCTTTTAAAATCTCTTCTATCATATGATTAAATACTTTCACATCTAATTATTTTGCCAAAATTAACAATTCATATAAATCAGCTGCTATTAAAAACTCTTATATTGATTTATGGACAAATGAAAAGTTTGCGCCTTTTTTTTAGACTAAGCAGCAACTTCTTATATCTTTTTTATAAGAACCTTTTTTAGAATCATCATTAAAAAATTCATTTAACCATTTTTCTTCTTCTTCTTCTTCATTATATAATAAACCTGATTATATATATTAAACTTAAGTCAATTCCTTTTTACTCATTTTTTTTGCAAGTTTAATTGAATATTTTTGAATATCGTGCAGAAAACGATCAAAATTTATCTGTTTTCCGAGGTTTTTCTATTTTTCTATTTATTTCAAATAGTAATAGTTAATAAATTCGTTGTAAAAGTCAAAGGTTGTTAGATTGTATTCTTTTAATGCATCAACAATCACTGGGATTATGCTTCCTTTTTTAACTTCAACTTTATCAAATATGCCATTTGTTAATAGAAGATTAGGTTCTAATATTTGCTCCAGTACGCTATTCAATCCATTGAATTCTGAAGAGACTTAAAGTTGAATTGGAATTGACTTCTCTTCCATTGTATCCCAAGCTTTTTGAGCAACATGAAGAAAATCAATTTTTTCTAAAGTCTCAATATCAGTTTGATTATTGACAAAACAATTAAACCTACAATGAAGCTAATTTAACAAATTACTTGATAAAAATTTTTTAATAAATGCCAAAGTGAAAATATATAATACTCAACTCAAATAATTGTCTTTAAAATTATCAAAATTAAAGTTGATTTTTATATTTTAGTTGAATCTTTCTAACTTGTTTTGTATTTTAGAAAAATTATTTTTTTGACAATAACATATATCTTTTCTTAAAAAATAAATATCTCCTATTGCACTTATACTTAGTTTATTTAACTAGCTTCAGTCTACTTTTGCAATTCTTCTTCTGATTATTCTTAAATAACTTCTTATTACAAATCTTCTTATTTTTTTGAAATAATTTCTTGTTATAATTCTG